AAAATCGATAAAAGTAATCGATAATCCTGAAAACCAATATTGTATTCGGAATCCCCATGCTCGATTACCCCCTGTGCCAACTCCCAGCCCCGTAGGTGAACTCAGCAAAAAAATCGATAAAAATCGATAAAATCGATATCGATCGATGACGAAAAGTAGCCTATGACACCCGCCGGGGCCCGTAGCGTAAGTGTGCCAAGTTTGGTCCGGATCGGTTCAGAAATGGAATTTTCTATTCGGAACATACGTACAGACATACAGACATACAGACAGACATACAGACAAACAGACATTCAGCTTTATATATAAGATGAGTAAGATTGAGGAGCCAGTCCTTGCACGCTTACCCCTAAAGTACTGCCCTTACATGCTGCTGCATTATAACATCGACACAGTCCGAAATGGACGAGTATTTCAAGTTACTGAACCAGCAGTCGCAGTACATTAGGTTTACAAGAGGAATCCCGAAAAATGGATGGTTCCCTACCTTAACACCCAGATAAATAGATCTGACAGTGCCATTCACATGAAGTGGTACCGTAAGGAAGCCTCAAAGAACATCTTGGTGCACGCCAACTTCGCCACATCCAACTGCAGTCAAACGAGCCATCTTTCGAAACATGCTCAAGACTGCTGCTGCAGTATGTACGGGTGAAAAAGAACAATGGGAAGTTTGGCTATAAATATCGCGCGAAGTAACGGCTACACGTCACCACAATATCATGGCCGTAAACCTGCGAACGGTAGTGGTAGTCAGATTCCAAAAAGAAATGCCAGCAAAATTCCTTTCTGCGTACCATTCATCTGCGACGAAGTCAGTACGGCAATCAAACATTGCATAGCCAGAGCTAAACATTCCCAATGACAACACCAAACGCAGTTGGTTAGAAATAGGTTGCATGATGTAGAATGCGATGTATGCAAAAAATACATTGTTTGTCCACACGGAAAAGTACAGTTGTGACAGTGGAATGTGAAAAATTTCGCCGAATTCGCCAAATTCGCCGATGTCGCCGAATTCGCCGATGTCGCCGAATTCGCCGATGTCGCCGATGTCGCCGACTTTGCGTCTTTTCGTCATAACTCCCTTCGTTCTCAATGGATTTCAAATTTGAAGGCAGATTTGGATTCAGCTCGCCGAGACGAATCTTTTCATATGTTGAACTGCTGTGATCGGCTCGGTCACGGTAAGTGCATGGTAGGAATCCGTTGCATCCTGTGGTGGTGTTTCCTAGAGTGTGTGTTTCGGCGCATAATGTAGGCAAAGGTTTAAGAAAAAGAGCGTTTGATGGAAGAGTTTCTGCTGAGTGTTTCCAGCAGAAAACCATATCCTTTTTTGTAGTGGAAACAGAAAGGAGTACGTGAACTTAGTAAATATACATGAACCACTTACCGTCAAACAAACATAACTATACAATAACACTTTGATTAGCAAAACAATTATAATCTTTGTAATCAGCATGTCTTGTTGCTTATGTGAGCAAAGTGACACACCACATGACTATGATATTCTGCTTACAGCAAAACTTCACTTTTCTGCAGACGCCTCTTTGCAACGCTGTGGGCCAGCCCCTTTCACGCTTAAAAGGCTCCGGTAAGGCGAGTCGGAAAGAGTTGCTTCCGTAGATAATCCAGCGGTGAAAAGTAGACGGAGACATGCTTTATAAAGCGCGAAAAGAGATGGTGAATTCTGCAAAAATCACGCGCCTTTAAATTCTACTCGCCATAACTTCCTCTAGAATAAGTATATTCTGAATCCGAAAACGGTGCTGTGCTCAGCTCATCAAGGCGGATCCTTAGGTATACAGCATGTCCTTGATATTTCGATTTCAGTATTCTTGAATCTTTCTGCGGACGTTTCTTCTCGAAGGTGTAAAGCAGCGAGCGTTGTCCCGAATAGATTCCAGCAGGGACCTTTTGATAGTACTTTTTCTGTAGATTATGATGCGCTAAACAATAGCCGCAATTCTCTTTTCAAAGGAGTTAGAAGGGCTGGTGAATTTTAGAAAAATCATGTCGTTCTAAATTTTTCTCAACGTAACTCTAAAATATGAAGCTCTCTTGCTAAGCAGATGTGATTTTCGTAATCAGCAGGTCGGATAACCTTTATGAGCAAGTTTTCCGAGATTTTCGGGTTATTTCATTTTTTCTCGTTTTACGCTCTTGGAAGCTCGCCGATGGATTTTGGTCAAAATGTTGATGCTCTTGAATAGTAAGGAAACTTCGTTTATAGAGGTTTTCGAACACGCTCTTTACGAATCAGTGGTATCAGACGCTTAGAGTATCTCTTTTGGAGAGATACGGTGAGGTAACTGTAACTGCACCACGAAAGTGCGTAACTTTGCCCGCACTTCTCGCGTATCTCTCAGAAACCTTGCTTGCTTGCTCCTCTAGGTCAAAGTGACTAGAAACTGAGCTATCGAATGGTGCATGAATCGGGCTCCAGTCTATAAAATCCGCCGAGTTGCAAGCCTACGAAAACACGTCCTCATGAAATTTGCACAAAATGTAAAGATCGCTTACTTTGTTGAAATTCCACCGTGAGTGGTTGTATAAAACGCGGGCGGGGTGAACGTAACATTTGCAATTAGTCATGCAACCACTCACGATGGAATTTCAACAAAGTACGCGATCTTTACATTTTGTGCAAATTTCATGAGGACGTGTTTTCGTAGGCTTGCAACTCGGCGGATTTTATAGACTGGAGCCCGATTCATGCACCATTCGATAGCTCAGTTCCTAGTCACTTTGACATAGAGGAGCAAGCAAGCAAGGTTGCTTACAGATACGCTAGAAGTGCGGGCAAAGTTACGCACTTTCGTGGTGCAGTTACAGTTACCTCACCGTATCTCTCCAAAAAGACACTGTAATCCTCAGAGACCATGATTTTCGTAAAGAGCGTGTTCGAAAACCTCTATAAACGAAGTTTCCTTACTATTCAAGAGCATCAACATTTTGACCAAAATCCATCGGCGAGCTTCCAGAGCGTAAAACGAGAAAAAATGAAATAACCCGAAAATCTCGGAAAACTTGCTCATAAAGGTTATCCGACCTGCTGATTACGAAAATCACATCTGCTTAGCAAGAGAGCTTCATATTTTAGAGTTACGTTGAGAAAAATTTAGAACGACATGATTTTTCTAAAATTCACCAGCCCTTCTAACTCCTTTGAAAAGAGAATTGCGGCTATTGTTTAGCGCATCATAATCTACAGAAAAAGTACTATCAAAAGGTCCCTGCTGGAATCTATTCGGGACAACGCTCGCTGCTTTACACCTTCGAGAAGAAACGTCCGCAGAAAGATTCAAGAATACTGAAATCGAAATATCAAGGACATGCTGTATACCTAAGGATCCGCCTTGATGAGCTGAGCACAGCACCGTTTTCGGATTCAGAATATACTTATTCTAGAGGAAGTTATGGCGAGTAGAATTTAAAGGCGCGTGATTTTTGCAGAATTCACCATCTCTTTTCGCGCTTTATAAAGCATGTCTCCGTCTACTTTTCACCGCTGGATTATCTACGGAAGCAACTCTTTCCGACTCGCCTTACCGGAGCCTTTTAAGCGTGAAAGGGGCTGGCCCACAGCGTTGCAAAGAGGCGTCTGCAGAAAAGTGAAGTTTTGCTGTAAGCAGAATATCATAGTCATGTGGTGTGTCACTTTGCTCACATAAGCAACAAGACATGCTGATTACAAAGATTATAATTGTTTTGCTAATCAAAGTGTTACTGTATAGTTATGTTTGTTTGACGGTAAGTGGTTCATGTATATTTACTAAGTTCACGTACTCCTTTCTGTTTTTTCCACTACAAAAAAGGATATGGTTTTCTGCTGGAAACACTCAGCAGAAACTCTTCCATCAAGCGCTCTTTTTCTTAAACCTTTGCCTACATTATGCGCCGAAACACACACTCTAGAAAACACCACCACAGGATGCAACGGATTCCTACCATGCACTTACCGTGACCGAGCCGATCACAGCAGTTCAATATATGAAAAGATTCGCCTCGGCAAGCTGAATCCAAATCTGCCTTCAAATTTGAAATCCATTGAGAACGAAGGGAGTTATGACGAAAAGACGCAAAGTCGGCGACATCGGCGACATCGGCGAATTCGGCGACATCGGCGAATTCGGCGACATCGGCGAATTTGGCGAATTCGGCGAATTCGGCGAATTCGCCGAAATTTTTCACATTCCACTGTCACAACTGTAGGTGATTGCACAAAGTCAGGATTTGTGTACCAACTACAATGCTTGAGCTGCGATGCGATTTATATAGGAGAAACGGGTAGAGCGGGTATACGTAAAAGTCAGAGAGCACTTAGCAGATAAAAAACGAAGTTTAGCATCACTGCTGGGAAAACATAAGCTCGAGGCGCACGATAATGGTGATTTTGATGTAAAGTTACGAGACAGGGATATCTATGAGGAAAGTCATGGAAGCCGCATGGATTTCCAGTAGGAATTCTGCCATGAATAGCAAAAATGAATGTTTGTCTATAACGACCGATCTCTTGTCTTTCTTGTCATATTGCGAGCTGCAACCTGCACATACTCAGACACTCGCACCGGCCGGCGGCGCCAACTTTAGGGGCGGGGCTAAAGACCTCCGGCGAGCGGCCGAGAAATCGCACCGGCTGGCAACCGTGCGAGTCCGTAAAAGCGCGAGAGATGCACCAAAGCTCCAATACCGTTGGAAATATAGTTTTATAATGGCGGATCTCAGCATTTCGTAATGCTGGGGCACGCCTGCAACTTGACAGCACTTGGCCTTTTTTTAAAGCCGTTTTCTTACGTTTCCATACCTTGCTCCTTCAATGTCGATGCATTGCCCAATACGACCCATATTATGTCAATCAACAACATAGCAATTCGCTTGTTCAGTCACGGAATATATACTAGAGGAGGGCTTTGCTCCCACTTTAACTGAGTTACTGTTCCATGTCAGGACTGCTTGCATTTTGATGCTCTCGCGATTTGATTCAAATTTTTTCAGAAATGCAGAGTATACAAGAGAAGTTTTGGATAGTTTTGCGGCTTCAGTTATATGTGATATACTTGCTTCTCCAACACTCCTACCAGAAAATCAAAGAGGTTGGTCATTAAATGCTACGATGTTTTCTCCTCTAACCGAATCCCATTTGAGGTTTTCGGAGTAGCGGCTGCTATTGCTGATATTCCAGATGGACATGTTAGAATGTTCATCTATTATCTGGCGCTGGATCCGGGAGAAATTGCAAAAAGAAATGATTTCGTGCTAGCAGGAGGACATTTCGAAAGCATCGAGCTAATGAACAATTCACAGTGGAGCGTTTACTGTATTGAAAGAGTAAGCTGCAAGTACTTTTGATTTCTGTATCTTTGCTATATTTATGTTGATTTAGTTGTACTGTTTGTTTTGTTGCGTGAACCTTTTTACAGCTATAAGATCAGTGAATACCCATTCATTTTTGTCCCATTGTTTGCAAAGGTAACTTTATTAATGAGTCTGTGATTGGACTTATTACTGTTTTTCACTGTTTAGGCGTTGGCTGTAGCCGAAGTGAAACGAAGCGATAAGTTTGCTGAGGCCTTGGAGAAACAATCACAGCCAAAAACCCACTTTTCACGAACACAGCTCGCTGTGGTAGTACGTTGTTAGGAGAAATGCTACACAGGTAACGCTACAGCAAGGAACTTCCTTTCTGTTCTTAGAGTTTTTTAGTCCATGCTTTACTTCAAATGGTGTGACCGCTGCTATCAGCTTTAGCAGATTTACCGCCGTTACTAGTGTTACCACTGTCACCGTTGTCCAGTTTACTTTCTTCCGTTACGAATTTCGGAATTGAATTTCGGTATAGACCACACTTTTTCCCGAAACTTTGACCGCGATATGCTTTGAGCCAAAGAACCATTTTAAGATTTTTTGATCCAAGAGGACCGGGCTATATGATCGTTAGCAGGCATGCCTCACTTTATGTTGCCTCATTCCAATGATTCCTATCTTGCCTCACCCGCGCGATTCCACATTTGATCTCATCATATAGGTGGACTCGATGAACTTGTGAAGTGATGTCAATGCGCATTGCGCATTCAATTGGTTTCCCTGTTTTGTTCATTTTATATGATTTTAGATGTATTGTGTGTTGTAATTCTCATAATTGTTGCATGTTAGTTGCATATACTGTTTCGATTCTGATTCAAATGAAGATATCTATCATCATTTTAATTTGAAAAATTTAGTGAACAGAGTGAACGACCAAAAAGAAAACATGAAAATAAGGAAATGAATAAGCAAAAAGTATGCTCTACAACTGACTGGGTAGCCTAGAGCGCGAAAGCGCTGTAGCATTCAATTTGCTGTACAGAATCTAACAGAATATCGTGCTTCGATGTCGACTTGCTGCGCGCGACGTTTTCCCTGCTGGTTGGCGATCTAGCCATTTCCGGCCGACGACCGTTTCATGACCGGCCGGCGAGCGCGCACGAACGGCTGAGACGGATCACGATGTCCCGCCAGACGGCCATCGCCTGGTCGCCGGCCGGTGCGAGTGTCTGAGTATAAAGACATCGCACACTGAGTAGTACTCAGTGTAGCCCGCTACTTTCGTACGGTTATTACTCACTTTCACTAACATCGCGGTGGATCCAAGGTTCGTTCTTCATCTATAAGGTTCTCAGCACGTTGTGCATGAGACATCTGGACAGAGCAATGCCTGGTGATTGGCGTTTGGCGGTTTCGCTCCGTGAATGAAAGAAGACTTTGTTTTCAGACCTCCGAAGACGACGACTTAGTCGAAACGCTTCCGGTCGATAAACATTATCCGTAAAACCTAGTTCTGGCATAATATAAAAGAAGATTTTAGCACTTTTCTTTCTTTTTGCTAAACCCAAAATGTGTTGAGCAGAAGAGGCGATCGTTTTCGCGCGGTGCTCAATTGAAATAGTAAAAATATTACATAAGGCAAGTCTATGAGATCTTTTTGAAAATTTTTTCTAAAACAAGCACCGCTACAATGAAATCGTTCAGGGCCTTAGTTCGTAAACTTAAATGGGCCATGATTACTAACAGGACGTTTTATGGAATAAAGACTTTCAATCTAATAAACTCATATTCATCACTACTCTTTCCAAGCGTCGAAAGACCTCAACACCTTTTCTTATCTTAGCCAAATCATTGAATTCTACCTTAAAAAATTCCCAGAACTCCCCTCCCAGAAGCGCTTTGAAATAGAGATCGAAAGCAGATTTGAAATTTGCGTTCCATGCTCTATAAGGTAGTGCACATCTCATATGGAAAATGCCACTCCGACCAAGTATCCTTCCCTTATTAGATGTCCTGTTTCACGTGGCGTGCAGGCCTCGGCACAAAAGTTTCCATTTGTCCCTGTCCCTTGCTTCAGGCATCCACGATCTTCTTGGTTGTCGCCGGTGGCTACGTCCACGATTTCTAGGCGCGAAAATCGTATCCAACTGATATTCAGCCGTTCCATCCGTTCCACGAACACGTCTGCCATCTCGTTGGTGGTCTTCCTCGGAAACGTTCTGCTTCGCGAGGAATCCACTCAGATGTTTTTAGTGTCCATCTGTTCTTCTCATAATGTGACGGGCCCATCGGTGCTTCGTTTTAACAACGTATGCCGCTGGGTCACGAAAACGGGACATCCTTCTCAAATCCGTACTAGTCTGACAAGATGTTGTTTGTGTCGGCTCATCCTCAGAAGATTGCACTTGAGCGCTCTGCGGATGGTCCGTATAGCTTTCAACGTGGTGCTGTGTAGGCCCAAGCCTCAGCTGCGTAATAGAGCGCTGGGAGAATGGTTGAGTTAAACGGTGGGCACGAAGATCCGAGTCGTGTTCTGTGCCCAGTTGTGTGCCCATAAAGTGCTGAGAGGGGAAAAATCTTTAAGGTGATGCGTGCATCATATTTTCCTCAAGCAAGCAAAATTATAAGCGATGGCGCCAAAAAACTGAGTAACTTTTGAGATTGTGAGGCTGCCTACTATCATTCCACATCACATTTGCGATTCTGTAACTCATGTACGCATGCTTCACTTTTTTAGCGAGTTCTCATTAGACTGCTTTTGGTGAGCAAGACTCATTAAACTGCTTCTAGTGCGCTTGAATTCTTTCGCTTCTCATCCTTGAGAAAATAAAAAGCACAAACGACGCAAATTAGTGGAGTAAGCTCTTATTTGTACAAAACCCATTCTAGAGAAATGCTCTTCAAAACTAGTTTGCGAAAGATCATATATTTCTGCAGAAATAATTGTTATGCTATGTCGCTTGCACGCTCACGAAGACTGCAAAGCAAGGCTGAATTATTCTTGTTTTGCATAAGAGCAGACCCAATTAAATATAATTCATTGTGCAACTCTTCCACAGCAACAAACGCATATAGATTTTTGGAATGCTTCAAAGTTTGAGTACAAGATTGGTGCCTTGTAACATTCATTGGGTAATGTTGTTCTCTAAGCAGTAGTTTGGGCTGTTGATAACGTATATGTTAGCGTATGTGTATAGCGTATCACTGTTCTGGAATGTAAGCAGAATAAATGGAAATAAGCCATCTGTTACCGAAGACGCAATGTCTCGAGATTATTTTTTGCATACAAATACCCTGGAAGGTAAGATGCCGAAAGCAGGCGTGAAGGTTGTGATTAACTTACCATTACGATTGTAAGTTGTAACAGTAAAAAACAGTAAATGTGGCTTTGTGGTGTCAATGTTGTCGGATATTCTCAAGAAAGAGTAAATTCTCACATCGACAAATGATGAATATATTAGGTCGTTCCGAAAGTAATGTCGCTTTTTTTCAGAAGTTCGCCACATCTGATGGAACAAAGTTTTCTAAGAGATCTTGGAGACATTCTATGCAACATTTCATTCTCTTTCTAAGGTTCTAGCTTCATTGCATCATAGTCATGAGCTTTTGAAAAATTACCAAAATCTGCGATCCATGCTTTTTGAAAAAGCCAAGTTTCACAATTTTTCTAGATTTTTATAACAACTCCCGGAAGGAGTCCATGTAATGGATGGATAGAGCAAACCCTACAGGAAACAACACAACTTTTTTCTACTTTCCAGAGCTCGTCATAATTTTTGTATTGATTTTTTTATGGAACCACCGAGTTTCAGCAGCTTCTTAAACACAAATGCATCAACCACCAATAAATCTTCGAATTTTGAAACTTACAAGAGATTATGGTTTGACACTAATTTTACAAACCAAATGAGCATTCACCGCTTCAGATTAGCAACTTTCGAACATTCTGGGTACAGCCTGGGACGCCTTAAAAAATTTGAATTATGATGATTTTATCTTGGGACTTGATAAGTCGAAAACATATAAGCACTGTTAGGAAGAGGAGAAAAAGCTGTGTCGGATGACACCCGAGTTGATTGCCGGTTCTTGTTCTGTGAGGTTTGAGTTGACCAAATATGAAATTTGACGGCATTGAAAAATTGACTCCAGAAACTCAAAGAAGCAAACTAAGGGAAAGAAAAATTATTCTGTGTCCTATAGGGTTTGCTCTATCTATCAGTCAATTGTACTTTTTCGCAGGATAAGTACAAAAATTTAGAAAAATAGCCGAATCTAAGCATGGCAAAAAGCGTGAGTCGTAAATCTTGATAATTTTTCGAGAGCCCATTGAATAATATGCAACGTAATTACAGTCATTAGAAAGAGCATAAAATGCTGCATCGAACGCTTTCAAGATCTCTTGAACATCTTAATTCCGTGAAATGTGGCCTTTGTTTGAAAAAAGCGACATTACTTTCGGAACGACCTAATATAAACCCATCAGCTAACAAAGCTGCGTAAGAAGATGGTCAATCATGTTAAGAAAATACGTCTTTGCCAAGTTGCTGTGATTAGATCAACTTAGAGAAGCCTTAGAAAGGCAGAGAATGTAGCAATAGATATTCCTCAACATTTTAAAAGATGGCTTCAAGATAGTCGGGTTTGCTTTTTTTCCAGTCTCCTATAAGCCTCTCTTGCACACAATAATGCTATTGAATAATCAAACATAAAACAGTGAACTATATCGTTTTTGCATGGCTGTTATACTTGCATTTGAGTGCTTCTCCTCAGAAATGTTCTCTTTTTATTTGCAAGAATAAATTTTCTAATGGTCACTAGTATGTACAAGTTATTATGACAACAATTAGTATTGCTCAAACAAAACCCATTTTTGAGTAAAGAGAGAAAAGACATGACGATTCTGAAAATCTGTCTACAGGATAAACCCTTCACAGAAAGATTTCAGACAAAACAGAACAACGGAACAAACATGAATAACAGCAAAGTCGGGAGGAAAATGTAAATGTTGAATTATCTTATGGAGATACTTGTTACATGTCGGCGAGGAGACAAGAAAAAGAGAAAGAGAAAAGGCAAGACAGATTAATTAGAGCAGCTTCACTAACGATATATTGAAGCATTATACAGTGCGATGACTTTGCATGAATCTAATCGAAAGTACTGCCGTATACGATGGACTCTTATAGAAAGCCATCTCAAGGCCCTTCGTATCAAAGTGGCCTGAGGGAAAAGGAGAAATTTTCAGGAGGCTAGCGACATGGTGCGCGTAATCGTGACACGTACAGCTTAAATTCGTGAAAATTCCGCAAAAGTGTCGGAAGGGAACTCGTCCTTCT